CCCCAAAACCCCAAAACCCCTGATTGCAATATTTATGATTAAGATTTATAAATAGTAATTATAAATCATATATAGAAATAATAAGAAATGTATGGCGATGAAAATAGAGAGTACCAAAAGAAAAAGGAAGCTTAATAAAAATATACATGAGTCCAGCAATACTAGGAATAAAAAGAGTTAAATAAGTACTCCCTTGAAAATTTGCTAAATGAAAATAATGCAAAGGAGAGAGATCTTGAAATCCTAAGGAAGAGAGTTATGTTTGAGACTAATGAATTGAATGCCCTTAACGGAAAAATCATGAGAATAACCTAATAGTCAACTGAAATCAATCAAAAAGAGGTAAGATTTAGTAGCAAATGATTCATATTACTAGGAAGAAAAAAGAAGAAACAAGCTAAAGGAGTTGCCAAATCTTAAAATTACGAAATTGCAAAGTTAGGTTGATAATTTATTCAAAGAAATTCTGCAGTTGTAAACTGGCTAAATTCTAGATGAGTAAGTTACTTTCATAAATAATAATTATTTGAATAGTGTTCGAGGTAATGCATAGCTACTCTCTGGTATATCATAGATAAGATACATAGTATAAGCTATCTGTGTAAAACTTATTCTTTCGGATCCAAATGCCCTTATCTCCAAAAATGGTCAAGGAAACTTGATGAATACAGATAATTGCTATGTCTGCACCTTTAGAATATACCCATCGACAATGTTTAGCGAGATAAAAAAGGCAGCCTGTGAATTTTGGAATAAGATTGAGTAGAAATACAGTCTTACAGATGAATATTACAATAATCTTGTGACTTATAATGACTCAGTAATGAATTTCTTCAAAAACTACAATGCACTTAACCCCTCATAAGATGCAGTAGTCTATCTTGTCAAAGCAAATTAAAAGTCAAGAGAACTAAACAGACTTTAGATGGATTGCATAACCTTAGATGATAAGAAGAATAAAATGAAAGAAAACGAATAAGGTGGGAATCTCAGTAAATTCAGGAGGAGAACTCTTGATTTCAACAAGATAGAAAAAGTACTACCTGGATTAGCATAATATAGAGAGCCAACAGAAGAACAGGTTAAAAAGTATATGAAAAATAGTGATCCTTTGTCTTTTTAAAATAACATCTGGATTTTTCTCATGTATATACTGATCTTCATACTAACTTGGGTTTCCCTTGAATTGAAATCTTAGTCTAGAGAAGTTTATGCTATGTCAAAAGTACTTGAGACTTGGCTATAAGCATAATATACAGGAGACATTTACAATAACACTAATGACATTTACAGTTTTTAAAGAGCCAACTTTGACGAAAAATATGATCTTTTTAAGTACTTATAAAATGACTTCTCAAAAATATTTCTTCATAATCCCGATACCCCTTCATAGTAAGAATCACTTTTTCTTGATGCAAATTAAATAATTGGAACGATTAGATTACATACAGTACATACTCAGAGAGTAAACTGTTAAGGAGGAGGGACTTTCCTAAAATGTTATGCAATCTAAGCAAATGAGGGGACTATAAATAAAACAAGCATTGGAGTAGAATCATGGGAAAAGTATAGAAGTTATTCAGATGTGAATGAATCATTATCAATAAAGGGAGAATTCACAACAATTAATGGAAACGGTTTTACATTAGACGTCGATCCACAAATATCACCGAAGGATTTTAATACTTTAATTGAAAAATCTCAAAAGACCTTTTTCAGCAATGCAGCAAGGGGAGTCTTAATAAGTTTCACTACTTACTCAGTTAGAACTGATTGGTGGGCTTATAATTATGTTCTTCATGAGTATGGAGCGCATGATGTGCTTATCCCTCCACTTGTTCGAAGCTTTCCCTTTAAACCAAATCTTTATGAAAGTTAAGACGAAAAGAGAATATATTATCTCGACATTTTCAGACTTACCATTACTTTAATCATTTTCACAGGAGTGATCATATTTAAGGTAATAATTTAGCTTTAAATATTCTTTAGATCTTTAGATAAATTAAGGACAAGGAAAAGCTAACATCATCGATTTTCTCATATTACTTGATTAACACATTTATCCTAATAGTATTCATTGTTTAATCCGCTATGTGTTTTCAGCTTTAAGAATCAACTGCTGAGATTTTAAAATAAAAGTACTATGTTGTAAGATACATAAATTTACTAATTAAAATACTATAGAATGGGTTTAGGTTTGCAAATCTATTTTATTACATGATATTTTTCCAATGTCTTTCTTTGCTCTTGATTGGATTACTTATCATTAAATTTAACAGAGTCTCAAGAAGACTATCGCAACTATATAATATGATAGAGAAACCACTTTTTACTCTATTCATGTTAATGATAATGCTTGTTATTATATATTCACTTCTAGGCTATTGTGCTGAGTAGATATGGGGAGTAGACTTTTATGAATTTAGATCAATCAATACTGCATACTACTCCATGTTCTCAATGTTTTCTTTACATTCAAATCAAATTCTTCCGAAAGTTGAGAAACTTTACATAAATAGAGAATTTTGGTCATTTGTATTTATCATTATTTACATCGTGTTCATGCAATACACTTTTATGAATGTCTTTACTTCAATATTCTTTGAAGAGTAGAGAGTAGTTAGCATGTATGAGGAAGCAATATACAAGAAATATGAAAATTTGAGAAGAAAAAAGATCGTTAAGTAATGGCTATCTGGAATATTTATGTGCTGCACGTATTGCAAGTCGAAAGCAAAGTAGATAAAGAAGCTAAAGAAAAAGGATGATAATTTAGAAGCAGTTAATGTTCTCAGAGAAAAGATGAAGTAACAAAAGCAAAATAAGCAAAAGGCTATGAATAACAGAATTTGAGCATGAATTAATCTTTATTTCATAAATATCCAATTACATTTTCAAATAGGGGTTTTGGGGTTTTGGGG